GAGGCTGAGGCAGGAGGATCACTTGAGCCCAGGAGTTTGAGGTTGCTGTGAGCTAGACTGTCACCACAGCACTCTACTCAAGGCAACAGAGTGAGACTCTGTGTTTAAAAAAAAAAAAAAAAAAAAAAAAAGTCCTAAATCACTTTAAATGTCCTAAACATTAATATTATTTATATTTAGACACTGAAGTTTTACAAAATAACTTATCTGTTGGAAAGCAGCTCAGGACAGTTTAAAATCTGCATTCTCAGGTTATCCCCCCCAAATATAACCAAATTTATGGGTTTAATCTTTTTTGTTCCTTTTCTGTATTGAAAAATCCCGACACATTTTCTTAAATACTCACTTCAGACAGGGCTGGCTTGAAAATAGTGATGCAATCACCCTAAGCATCAAAGATAGATAAGTGAGTGGGTGGGTGAATGGATCCATGGATAAACAAACAAGAAACTGAGTTCAGGAACAGAAGCTAAGCAAAAAGCTAAGAGTAAATCAATGTTTGCTCTTTAAGGAGTATGACAATATTATGCAAGAATGAATATCACGCAACAGTACTTCTCAACTGCCAGTTTCCCTTCCAAAATACTATCAATTTTGCAGGAAAGTTCCTCAAAAAGTATAGCAGTAGGAATGTCAACAATATATGCCAAGACAAGAACACTGCTAAGCAATGGGACTAAAAAAAAGAATTCAACATGAAGAAGCCTCATGTTATATACATCGCAACTTCTTCAACAACTTGGTCTTCCCTTACGAAAAGGATTCAGATAAGATCTTTTGTTGGTTAAGATAATTCCAACAGATAATCCAAAAGGTTGCCAAGATATTTTTTAAAAAGTCAACAAAATATTTGAAATTATCTAAACATAACCTAATAAAAATTCTAGTAATTAAACTTAAGAGATCAGAGAGTGATAGCACTATAACTCCTGGCATTAAAAAATAAATTTTAATCTTAATTTATTTGTATCAAATTATGTATGCTCACATTGTACATATTGAATACATTTGCTGCTCTGGTGTGGTAAGAATAATGCCAACCCATAAAACCAGATATCCATATTCAGAAGAATGAAACTAGACTTGTATCCCCTGTCATACACAAAAATCAAATCAAGATGAATTAAAGACTTAACCCTTTGCACTCGGATGTCAAGTGTGACTCGACACGGTTAGCAAAAAT